CTTACATACTCTTCACCTTTTTAATGTTTCTTGGTAAAATTAAATCGCTTTTTTCCCATCAAAATAAATAGAATTTCAGGATGGAAATCATCCTTCTTATAACTTCACGGTATTTAAGAAAAAAAGTAACTAGACATTCAAGCTTCATAATATCTTTTAGATATTTCTGAATTATGTATTCGAGTGACTTAAGATATACTTTAGTTATGAATATTAATATTCCCGGGAGCATATTGATTGGTTAGTGGTTTATGTATCTTACCCTTCTTGTAGGTTAAATAGCCAATATTAATGATAAGAGAATATTTAGCTTTCAATTTTCAACTATTTTACAACCATGTCTGGTAAACTTCCTGTTTTTTTGATTGCAGAAATTAGTGTTTGCTAAACTGTCGAATTAGATTAGTGGTAGCATTCATTATAGAAACAGAAAATTGAATCATTCATCCTCCAGAGTTTATATGACTTCAAAACCTTTTGCAGATATTTATTTAAGTCCTTATGTTGTTTTGATTTTTTTTGTAAATATATTATTGACTTCAACAGAGATTGTAAAGCCTAACAAACTTTATTTAAATTGAATGTGTTTTCTGAAATTTCCATCACTTAACTCCTTAGTTAAAGTTGAGGAGGTGGCGTTAAATTTTCAGCCACACCAAGTTGTAGCTTCAAATCTTACCCTATCTACTTCGGTTTGGGCAACCGGGTAGTATCATTAGCGCTCACAATGGGGTTCATACCAAAGTACCTAGTAAATTAATTGACTTTTTTATTCCGCTTCATTTATGACGTTAGTTGTGTAAGAAAATATTCACTGATATGAATATATACATTCTTTCGTATTCAATAAAATAATTCCATACATCATCTATATTTTTCATTCCTCTTTTTCTTCGGAAGATCCACTTCAACTACCATTGGAAGTACACAAAAAGAGTTATATGAAGCAATGTTTGACTTCACTGCTAGACATCCGGATGAATTATCATTTACAACTGGGACGTTAATTGATGTAAGCTATCTTATTGCTAAATTTTATAATAATAACTCATTAATTCATTATCAAAATTTACAAATGGAGTGTTTTTAAAAGGAATTACATTGTTTAAACTATCGCAGATATAAGTTTATGGAGCTATTGGCAGTAAAATAAAACTACTCGTAGCTGTTTTTAATAAGTATCTGGAGGTGATTTATATCGTGTATAAGGCCAATCACTTCCACCTTACCTCTTACCTGTTTCGTTTATTTATCGTAATTATCATTAGTTTTTCCCCAAAACATTTACATATCGTGAGATTATAAACAATAAGTAATAATATAATTTGTCCACCACTGCTCGTTTGGAAAGAATTAGTCGGTCAGATAAATTAAGGTATTCAGGATAATATTGATGATTTTTTTAAGAACATTCCATGAACAATACGCCTAAAATTACTGATATAAACTTTGTTCTTTAAATGTCACTAATTTCTTGTCGCGTACCAATGAGATTTCTTCATTGATGATATTCATTAAAAATATTAGACTCATCAAGTATTATTCTGTTTTATATTTGATTCCGGTAGTACTGTTAGTATTATATTTCACAAGTTTGTAACATTATTTATTATTAGTTCAAATACACGAATTTCAGCGGTGAGAATCATAATTTCAAACTTGACTTTATCTGCTCCATGTTTTAAGAAACTAACTATTATTATTATTATTATTATTATTATTATTATTATTATTATTATTATTATTATTATTATTATTATTATTATCTTCATACATGTCATTCAACGTTGACTACATAAGAATGTACTGTTTTGTATTATTTATAAAAAAAACCCTCGTCGAATTATTCACTTAAAATATGCACATATTTATTTACTTAACGTAATAATAAAATAAACTTAATCAGGAATCATGTGGTGTAATACATTTCAAAAACTCTAATTACAAATTATTTAATCGTATGCATCATATCCCAATTTAAACGTGTGTGTTAAAAACTTAAGGAGTAATACTGGTAATAAGATGTAATTAAAATGTATTAAACATATAGCTGAAATAGTCGTGAAAATAAACAAGCTTCAATTATTTCCAATAGGAGTAGACTGTTACTACGTTCTATTGATTTATAGAAATGTAATTTTAATTAAATGGATATACTTTTTATTCATTTAACTAATGTATGTGATAAGTCTTGTAGGTTGAACGCTATATACGATTTCCTAAGCTATTCCGGTAACCCGCAGTCTAGAACTACACAGCGACTTGAACACCAGAGAGAAAACACAAGTATAAGAGAAAATACTTTATCCCAAGGTTCATTTTTGTACAGAAAATCATGGGTATTTATAGATTTTGGCGTCTGTTAAATCAGCATCATTTTACAGCCAATCCGATAACAACACATTATGCGACCGACCAATAGTAGCACGCCACGTTGGAATTCTAGAACGTTCCATCACACTCTGATTGGCTAGGACTCTTCGGCTCCTTGTGGGCCTCTGGAGGCTCCGTTGAAGTTCTCCGGAAGCCGACCCAACAGTATGCAGTTACGCAAATAGATTAGATAAAATTGAAACGGTATATAAATAAACTTAACGGTATCTCATATTACATAATAACCTTTGTTCTTTTCTCAATTAGGTTTTCGTAAATGCTCCGACTAATGTTGGCCCAGGTTGGTTATATGGTCAAATTAATGATAAAGTTGGCTTATTTCCTGAAACGTATGTACGAAAAAAAGTCGATGGGAAAATTGATCCATTTGATCCTTTTGGTGTTCATAAAATAACGAATACTTCTGTATCATCGGGTATGGCAACAACAACAATATCTACTACAATTAATACACTTAATACAATTAGTGTAATAAATACCATTGACAGGTAAAATTTGACTACATTAGTTTATTTTTTACTTTTATAAAAATCATCTGTTTTCAACGATATGTTCGTAATAGCAAACGATGTTGTACAGTATTCTTAATTTGTTATGACTAGTGAAAAACTCAAACAAACAAATACGTATGATTATTTTTTAAACACATTCTTTAGTACATTTTGTAATTACTAATGGTTCAACTTACTTTCTTAGATATTCCCTTTTTGAAAATTTAACTCTCAAGCATTAGAAACTATTAGATTTATGACTAAATAACAGTATGTTGATTATTTACTAGATGCCTACAAAAATCTGGGAATCTGTATTTTATGCTTTCAATTATTCATCGATAGAATCTTTCTTACGATCATGATTCAAATCATTGAGCTTTTACTAAACTTACCTCGCTAACCTTTCCCATAAAAAAGTAGACTGTAAAAATGCATTCTTAGTCTCTGATTTCTATACAATGGTATCTATAAAAAATAAATGAATAATAATCAGTCATTCAGTGTATTTCCATTTTCTGGAACACATTATTTATTCTTATGTATTTTGTAATCGTTCAGCAAGAAAATACCAAGACATAGAAGCAGTTTATAAAAGTATTATGTATCATCTGCTTATCTTTAGACAGTCTGCCAAATTTCGAAATAGGAATAACACAGTGTTTACCACGTCAATATGATACTTTACGAAATGAATATTTCAGCAGTTTCAACTAATGGCCTAATATTCAATCCTGCTGTGTCAATTCCATTTGATAGTGTATAGATGATCTAATTAGTCTACTCATTATTAGTATGTTGAACTACTTGCTACTGAACTTACACCAAACAGTACATTTTTGTGTGCTATGTATTATTGATATGTTAACTGAATAGAAAGTTTTTGGGAGAGAACGGGATTTTTAATCAGTCTTTGTTTTTTGCCGAATTAACTCTCACTCTAATGAGTATATAGTTGCAAACATGCATATTATTATTACCACTATTATTTATAGTAATAATAGATTTTATCATAAGGTCAATGATATTTTCGTTTAAGAATTATTACTAAACGTTATTGATTTTCTTGACAGTAAGGTAGATTAGTTAATTTTGAAGTGCTGGCTCTTTAGAGATTGAGGCGTTCGACATTCACCATCATTAAGTCTCAGGTTTAAACTTTGTCCCACCTAATTCGGCTCAGGCAACTCAGTGGTATCATTCACCCTCACAATCTGATTACCACTCAAAACTAATTAACAATGATTGGTACTTAGTAAATAAGTTGCATATATACTACAATGAAATTTGTAATAGACAATATGTTATTTTAGACGATAATGTTCCAAGTAAATAAAAAGTTTCACTCAGAAAATGTTTAAGAAAAAAATTTGTTTTTCATTCTGTGTTCACATATATTGAAAAAAATTCGGAAATCGGTATAATATGCAAGTTGTTTTTACTATCCGATGTATAGTTAAACAATTTATGCCTAACCAAATGTTCATCACATTGACCACTGACCAAACAATTGATAGTCTAGTTTTGTGATTAAATTGAATTAAACCCCATAAAAAATAAGGTTTGTGTAATACTACTCATATATATTTAATGAGACAAAACTTAATATTTCGTAAGCATCGTTTTTGCAAACGTTGTGGAAATCTATTGTAAATGATTCGAATTATTATTATTATTCAACACTTCAAACACATATTACTCATTTCAGTCGTTATCTTTCTAATGCTGTTAATTTTAAATCTATGATTTTCAACAGTTTGACTGAACCGGCAATTGATAATCTAGTGGGAAGTGAAACAACACCAACAACAAAACTCAATGATACTACATTTTCTAACAATGATTTTTATGGTGAAGTACAACAAAATTGGAATGCATCAATGTCTACAATAACTTTACCTGAAAATATACCAACAGATCAATTCTTAACATTGACGGTTGACGATCGTGTTAAAATTATCAAAGAAAACGACAATAATAAAGAATGGTATTTTGGTGAAATTACTGATAAATCAGATATTGTGAAAAAAGGATGGTTTCCAGCTTGTTGTTTAAAACCATTCACTAAGTCCAATACTTCTAATATAAAAAATGGGTCAGTAATTGTTGATATATAACTATTGAATGAATACATGAATTTACGCATAAATGTTTATGAGCATCATTAAGTTGCGTAAACCTTTATAAACGGAGATAATTTACACCGCAAACTGGTTGTCACTGGACAACTATTCGAAACTGAGAAGCATCAAACTGCTTGTTGATTTTAGCACGAGACTTCATCTTAGTACGTTCATAACCCTGTCAGAAATTGGATCTACATTCTTCAGGTTTAGCAACTCAGATTTTTAAAACACCGAATTGCCGTAAAAGAGTCCACGTTTCCAACTCTCGTTTGTGTTTTAAACAATCAAAATTTATATTCATCCGTTATTCGGTTTTGTTGGAGGGTAGTTTTAAAGGTATTGGTTTCTTAGCATTAGATTGACATGTATCGACAACACATAGTAGGGGTCTTAACGCGAGTTCTAATTGTTTTCTTAATTCTTTGAGATTTTGTTATTGAAAAGGATGATCGTGCCGATTAGATCCTAATCTGTTTTACCTATGAATCTAACAATGTACTTTTGACAGTGTGTCTCACTTATCTTTTGAAGGGCTGTTGATCTTTAGTACATTTTTGATGTAAATTACACATCTGTAGATACTCTTTTTGCGCAGAAAAACAAATAGTTCCTAATGTCATTTGTCGATGCATTGGATGTTTAAAAGTTGCTAAAATATTTCGCGTTTTATTCATAGAGGTCGTCTTAATTAAATGGTTAAAGAAAATCGAGTTGTCCAGTCCGTTATGGATTTTAATAGTTTCATCATAGATGTTGCTTTCTAGTGATTCAGTCATCAGCAACATTGCGAACCTGGCACAAATTTACATTGGTCCAAGTAACCACATCTCATTAAGACATCTAAATGAAATGAACAAAATAAATATCAAGGTTGGGAGAGTATTAATAATAGTATCCTGTGATAGTGAAAGATCAAAAATAGCAAATATACGGTTCGAGTCTACTGAAAGTATGTTTAGAATAAAAAAGTATGCAATAGTGCTTAGTGAAAAAAAATGTCACCAAATTATTCAATATTTCTGTTTTCATACTTATTTAAAACATTCAACTTATTAGATAACTCCATATAATAATTTTTTTCCCTGATCGATTCATGTAGACTAAATATCTCTTCATCATCAAATAGCTTATCAAAACAACCAGACATTCTATTTTCATGTATTGCATTATACCCATATGAGTCGAACGTATCTGGCGATTTGAATCTTTCTGTTGGTGATTTGATTAGAGTTTGTGTTATAAAGGATGATTGGTGGGAAGGTATTTGTGAACGAACTAAACTCAAAGGTTTATTCCCAGCTAATTATGTTCGTAAACTAAGCAGTGAGGCAAGTGATGCGTACACCTATTTGTTTTTTTAGTGTAACTTTTTGTTTGTTTATATCTTTTATTATCTTTTTTCTTCAAAATTGAGACAGTGTTCTTTTTCCTGTGTTTACTCGTATCTTAATTCACCTTATTGTTTAACAACAATCGCTGCAAATATATCTAACTAACAAAGTCAGTTATAAATTGCCGATGCAAAGTTTGACAACGATATAAGTTGAGATATATTACATCATCAAAGCACAAGATGATCAGCATGATGAAGAAGCATAGGCTAGGTGGTTAAGTATACAATTTTAAATTGAGCCATGGCATAATAATAAAAATTTTATTTTTTGATTTCCCCTTAGCTCCTTATAACGGTATTCGTAGATTTCGTAACAATAATAAAGGTGATTTTAATCAAAACTGTGAATTCACCCCGAAACAATGATATTCTGATAACTGTCTCTATCTGAACACATAATTCTGGTTTTATTTTTTAAATTGTTACTTGTTCAGAGAGACATAAAGAAACTGCATTACTTTGTCTCTTGATAATATTGAAGGATTGATAAAAGTCAATAATATGACCGGTATCAATTAAGTATTGAGATATCATATCTTTTTAGTCTAAAATCCTTTAGAATGGGCCTCGAAATGTGAATGTTTGCTCTTCTTTCTGTTCTTTTTAAATATTCACTTTGGCACGTACATAACCATTGATAACTGCAATTGAAGGAGGTATTGAGAAAAGACAATCTTGTCTATTTTTATCGTAAGAATCAACCATTTTCAAAATTTTTAAATTATACCCACAGGGTGTGAATGAATAGTAGTTCAGTTAACTTCCGAAACACAGTGCTAAACTTATTAAATTGTTTTGAGTAATATACACTTATTTTTTATCCAACCTACAATTCAAGATTTAGTAATCTTATAAACTAAGATTTGTGATTTATCTATATTTAATATTTTAAATAATAATTTAAGTAGCCAGATTCTTAAGCAATATATCCACTGGTAGTTGCTCTTCAGTTCAAAAACACAAACGAAAATTAATATTTAGAACAGAGTCATTTTATGCATTCCCTGGTGTGTGCTACTTACGTCGACAAATATAAGTAGTATGTAACACAAATCTGAAGTGAAATGCCTGGCACCAAATAAAAAAGAATGAAAACAGATAGTGATTTCTATGAAAATGAAGAAACAACAAAGTCTGAAACAATCAATTGACATTTTGCATATGAAGTGCTGAACGTATAGTATTTATATTTTACCACATACCTGTATAATTTTTTACTGATGTATACTTGATTGTCCCCAATTGTATTGTTGTTCACTACAATCCTATCCTCTTTTTTCTCTATACAACTATTTATGTTCTATTTTAATTTGTAAATAATTTTAGTAATTTCTTTTTCATTAAATAGGAAACACGGTCGATGGAAGAAAAGTTAGATATAAGCGGATCAACTATTAATCAAATGGAGCATAATGACACACTTGTAAGTTAACGATGCATTATATAAAATTTCTTTTCATTTTATTTGTAAGCATAAAACACAACTACTGTGAAAGAGCGAATTTTTTCTAGATTCAGTAATGGTGGATACTGCTATATCTAGAGCTTATATTCTTGCTATACCACTCACTACTTGAGCACTCGAATGTTAGAACCCTCCTAGTCGCAAGTTAGAAAACAGAAGACAAGTAAGAAGGAATTTTATTCCAGACAGCGTTAAATATCGTACAAAACTCTCAGGTATTTATAGTTTTCAGTTAAAACGAAATCATTACAGTCGTCCAATCTGCATACAATGGTTTTTAGCATTTACGCGATAGGGAAGTCACACGTTGAGATTCTGAAATGTCCTTCCAAAAGATGTTTGGATGGAATGTCTTTGGTTCTTTTCGAGCTTCTTAGAGCCTCCCTGAATTCACTTGGGGGCTGTCTTCACAGATAAATTTTTGTATGCATAAATACGAAGATAAAGATATCCATTTTTTTCTTGTCTTATGAAATTTTTCACAGGTTATTGTGGTCTTTTTAATTATGTTGTGATTATGAGTCATCGTTATCAACTAGGTTATTGACAACGTTATTTTTTAGATAAGATCACTAAGAATAACTAACTCCGTATGCTGCTACAAAACTTCCCTACTTATAATGAACTACTTGTTTGTTAAAGAGTGCATCGACAATGTATCTTGACGAGTTGCATTTCAAGTCAGATTTTTATTTAAGGTTTTTAGACTGTTTCTTTTGGAAAACAGAGAAACAGATTGTTTACTTCTTAGTAAATTTTACTGACAACTATAAATTAATTACATTCGGTCTTTGTGAATCGCTACACAGTTTAGCTTTTTTGTGTTATACCTTTCAATGTACTTTACTATTATATCTTATACTAGAATCCTCCATCTCTATCAAAAATAATTCCTATATCATCGCCGAAATTGATGGAAGCGAATTCTAATAATTGTATGGCTAGTTTACTTTCTTCATCAAATACATCTTCAACTTCATCATCTGGTGTTATTGTATGCACTCAACCGGAGTTTGCTCGAGTAATTGCACCATACAAAGCTACTTCAGCTGGTCAACTAACTCTTCAACCTGGTCAAGTTGTACAACTTCGTAAAAGATCACCTAAAGGTTGGTGGGAAGGAGAGTTACAGGTAATAAGCAAAGTGTCGAATCGATTTGTTACGTAGACGTTTCTTGTATTCTGCTATATATATTGCCATTTTTAATTGCTAAGAATTTATAATTTAGGATGTCAAGCTTTATTTCAAGCCATTTGACTTATAAAATAATAATATTCCTCATGCGTCACATTTAGCACAAATTTTTGAAAATTGAGCGAAAATATAGTATCATTTTTGCCATGTCACTGATTTATAATTCATCATCATCTGTAGAAGCATATTTATGTCAACCTGCTATATATAAAAGTTAGATTATAAATCCAACATTTAGCTGATGCATAACCTTGTACCATGGATTATTAGTTTCCCTTAAAAGTGTAACACATCTGAAGTAGTGAAAATACAAGTGATTGGTTTATTAAAAGTTGTTAATTTTCACCTTTTGAGTGATAAATACACCACTTGTAAACAGATAACGTTTTATTTGTTACTTTCGATCATTAGCTTCTCTAATAATATTTTAAACTGTAGTATTATGCATATTGAACCATAGAAAATTCATGTTTCTTTACATTACACTGATTGTATTCACAAAACTAGTTCCACAACTTAATGTTCGTCATTTACCATAACTCTTCCATGATCAAAGTAAGCAAACATGTGGTTGAACTACATCAACAAATATCTGACATTCTCATTAAGCTTGTCTGCTACCAAACGTAGTAATTTAACTAGCCATCGTTTAATGAGTATGATGAATTTAATTTTCACTTCAAAGAACTTGAATTTTTGTTTTGTTTATTGTTAAATTATTTTATATTCCCTTTGGATGTACTTCTATACATAATCTTGTCTTCAACAGTCTCATTTTTACCATTTATCTCTAACTAGTATTCATTGATAAAGCTATTTTATTTTAATTTGGTTGCATAAATGTTTTTAAAAGTTGCGAATATTGACTTCACACTGTTCAGTGGTTGAAAGTAGTCCACATGAAACCCTGAACCTAGATTTCGTGCTAAACCAGTATAATACATTTATCAATAACTTAACTACTTATCAATTATAGATTTCACGGTAACTATTAGTTAAGTCGCTTTAGCGTATCTCTAAATTCGATAATATGATTGTTTTTTACGATTTTATAAAATATACAATAACCGTTTCGTAGATTGGCTTAAGCTCATCAAGGTTAGTAATTCCTTCATAAATAATTGTCTAGAAAACACAGAGTGTAATCTGTGTCATTACACTCCTCTGTGAATAAATGAAATAAATTTCCCAAATAAATGTAATTTAAAATTCGCCTATTTACTGTACATTTATAACCTTTATTTCTCTATCGACACATAAGTTGGTAGTTAATTGGCTTTTGTAAGCTGGCTAATCACCGTACATTATAATAATATGAAAGAGTTTTGTTAATACAATCTGAAAATTGATAATCTAAAATATATATGTTACTGTGCGAATTAATAAATTTAAATTCGAGTGATATTTTATGTATTTTGAATTCTATTCGTCATAATGATTGTAAATAATTATGAACAAAATCGTTCCGGAATCCTATTGCTAAGTTTTGAGTGTTATCGCAGCTCCAATTGACATCATGAAAATTACCAAAGATAATATCATCAAACCAATAATTTACCTAAAAAAGGTAATACTCAAATTAAAATCGAATAAATTTTAATAGATAAAACAACTAGCCAAGTCGAGTGACAAAATCAATGCATTTTAAGGCACCAAAGCTTTTAGTCATAACTGTTAATATTGAATGATTCTCACTGGTGTAAAGGTAATAAACTTTTCCTGGGTTCTATCTATCTGTCTAGTTCACGGGTGTAGAAGTTTTATACTGAGATAAAACACATCCAATGCTATATATGATTCAATAATTCTCTAACAACGGTGTCATTTCTTGACTTTTTATTTATAAAATTCCCACCCAAATGTGTATCACTACGAATTGCACACAGTTAAGAAATACGTTATCAAAAGTGAAATTAAAGACCACAGTGTAATTAGTGGAATCCACCCTCTGTCTTTCTGTAACATTAAAGAATGACCTGAAATCTATCCATTGTTTCATGATTTAGTTTAGAATTGTTCGCACTATTTTTATGTATCCAACTTTTCTTAGATAAAATAGTGTTTAAATACTATTCGATTCGTTTTTCAAAAAACGGATAACGTCATCGTAATAAATAAATAATAATCATATTTTACTGTTATTTACCTTTTTCCAAACGAAATTACTTTTGGTAGGTCACAAATAAGTAATGGTTTATACAAGTAATGCTTTAATTCACCTTAGATTATTTTAAAATCTTCTGATCGGAAATATATTCCGAACATTTCGTATAAATTCATATTATTGGTTTACAAGTTATTATCTCTGTTCATGTTTTACACTATATTTTCATAGCAGTAATCTACACCTAAGTGACATGAAAGAAAAATTATAAACCAACGTGTATGTGGTTAGCTTCATTGAATTAGTTTGAACACATCATTAAGTTCTGTTTTATTTAATAGACAACACTTTTCCATGTTTTTCTTTTATAAAATAAATTGGCTTAAAATCAGACTTGATATAATTCCATTATTGTGATGCTTTTAGTTTCAATTCATTCAATGGTATAATTTGTAAGTTACTTCGATTGTATATTGTTGTAGAGTTCATATCGACCGATGAATTGTACTAAAAAAAATCCTCCATTATTTGGAATTCAGTCCTGGTATGTAATTGTATATTCCATAGCCATATCCCTAAATGTTTCCGTTAATTTAAATATGCCAATTTAGAAAAATAGGCTGATACTAAATGTGAAAGACCAAATAGTATTAGCAATTCGCTCAGGATGGCCATGTTTTAATAGAGACTGATCGTTTGCAGTCCGTAACTTGAACGGTGAAAAAATGCAAACGCTTATAAATAATGAGATGATAGTTTCCATCTTATCTTAGTGTTTATGTTTTCTCATTCTCACTCATTAAGTCTCATGTATCTACCTTCTCCGGCAACCGGATAGTATCCATTATCCTCACACTTATAGTATGCTTCGCACTCAAATATCTGATGGATAAGTCTAATTATTTTGTTATTTCTACAAAGGCTTGCGCTTCTCTGTAGATAACAAAAACATTTTCACTAGTCCATGTGATTAGTACTTAATTATCCCTTTTATCAATAACAGTATGCTTTTAACACAATATGAACAATTCAGCTAACTTTTTCATTTATTTACTGTTTTTTTTTTCGTTTTTCTCTCCTTTCTATATGTAAAATATCTAAATTACCTTGTTTCGCATGTATAATTATTTATTTTGTTGGCTTATTTCATAACTTATATTTCCATACTATGTTGCCTATTCTTTTCTTCAATCAACATGATTATTCTTGTTATGGATAATTGGCATCAAGGTGCTCTCTGGATCAAATTTAAACTTGATTGATAATGAAGATTAATTGCTTATTGATTAATTGGCTGTTATCAAATTTATCATGAATTGTTATCTGCAATTTATTGGCTGCTTCTTTTGATAAATTCCATGTCTTTTTTCATCCTTGTCATTTCCCTTTTTTGATTTCAGTTATTTCAATCATTTAGTCAAGTAACTATTTCTTTACTGGTCTTTATGAACTGAAACAAGTTGAAGATATGAGAAAATTGAGCATGTCGAGATAAATTTGTCTTATATGATTTCGTTTTACTGCGTCTATATGTGTGCGTGTTACTTTCTCAACACTTGATCTGACCATTTTTTTCTTCGATTGCACTTTTATGCTAATCTTTCGGTTTTTCTTAAAATCGCATTCTTATTTTGCATCATTCACAAAAAGCATAGAAACTGGTTGTACGGTGGTAACATGTTTTTTGATTAAAATTAATTGAATTGTTTAATCTTCGTTAGCTACACGTATTAGTCTACATTTTTATTGTTGTTCCATCACCATTGTATAATCACTAGATGCCCTGTTGATTTCGGTATTCGACTATTGTTCATAAGTACTCACATGTTATTACATGCTTTGCTCAGTTCGTTTGGCTCAACTATCATCTGGCTATACGTGACTCATCACAGTACACAAACGTGTACGTAATTCCTGCGTTGGATTCGTATTTATTGATTGATTACCTTTGGATTTTCTTCCATGTCAAGCACCGTTCATTGTTAAAAGCGCTAATAAATATTCCGTTCATGGCGCTGTACTTTAATGTTTCAAACATTAGTCTTTCAACTGATTAGTTTGTAGTTTGAACTTCATTCAGTAATTCTGAGCTATGCTATCGAGCCAATGATGAACGTCCGAATACATTCCTAGTCCATCATTTTATTGATTAACCAGCATTAAAAAGATGGGAATTTAATAGTCGTTCACATCAAGATAAATTTAAGTAAGGCGAACGCGATCATGTACTTAAAAATGTTTGAATGTTAGGGAATACGCTCATATATCAGTGTCGGAACGAGATGGAGCTATATGTATGCCCGAAAACGTTAGATACATTAATTGTTAAGGTTAAGATGTTAGGGTTAGAGAGCCACAGATAAATTTACGAAATGAGTTATGTAAAATTAACATATACTCTTGAAATCCTTTTATTATTAACAAGATATCATTCATGTGTATTTGCTGTTGTTTCACTGACAAAAGCTCTCAAGCTCGTCCCGGAGGTATAACTGAATTTCACCCTTCATTGCATTTGCTTTGATAGCTGTAAACGTCTCGCACCTAACTGTTTTCTGGATACTGACCTTCAATCTCTTTTGCCAGCTTCTGCAGATCATACTCGTAAAACATATAGTTCCCCCCTCTCAGTGTGTGATGGTTTCAAAAAAATCTCACTAGCTTCATATGAGTATGTTTTAAATTGACTGGTTAAAGAAATGGTTATACTAACTAATACCTACTACGTATGCTCACAGTATACTTCTTTCTGATACAATTACTCCCTGTTACAAATAAAGATACATTTCTTTTTTCTACAGTTGTAAATCTGTTATCTTTATCTCACTTTTTTCTAATCACTACTTTAGTTTATCGCTCTTATTCCAACCAGTCCCCTTCCTAAATACGTATTAAGAATGATTTTAAGAACAAAGTATCTTGCTTGTCAAATCTTCAACAGTTCTCCATAGTGATGTATTAAAATTGGTTATGCACTAACTTTCGATGTTACGGTTTTGAATAAATCCAATACAATAACCACATATAAGTTAGTTTACTTTTAATATACATAGTTTAAAGTAGATCCGTCTTTATGAATTCCCATCTCATCATAAAATATTATACTTTAAACTGTTTGTAAATTAACAATCATTCAGAAACTAGTCGTAAGTTCTATAAAAGTTCAAATGGCAGTTTGTCTAGGAATTAGCTGATCATTTATGATAATTATTTAAATATATAACGTTTCAACTTATTTCCAAACACAATTGTATGAACGAAGAATATTCTTTTCAATAATTTCTCATCAGGTTCTACAATTATAAATCAAGATTAATAATCCATAAAATTGGCCAGATTTAAGGCAAAATACATCATTTGGAAATTGTAATATGTGAATCAGGAATTGTTTGTTATATAAAATAAAATCGTTAATGTTGGGGCTGACTAATATGAAGCGTTAACTTGAATCAGTTTATAAGCGAAATGAAATTGTGAGATAAATTATCAGAGTAAATATGGTCAACATGGGGTAAGAGAGAGAGAGAATATTGTGATTACAAGTCGGAAATTGCGTAATATGTAAAATAATTAGATCAAATATAGTAGATTCAGAGGTGGATATTGAATAAATTCATCAAAAAGGGGTTATCAAGTGTAAAGACAATAATGATAGTAATAATAATCATAACAGTAATAATAATAAGTTTGGGACATAAAATGAACATTAATGAGATTACGTCACCATATTTTAAGATTGATTATTAGCTAGTTGGCCAGGGTAAAAGGAGTGGCTGAACATACTTTATGTCCCAAACTTATTATTATTATTATTGTCTTTACACTTGATAACCCCTTTTTGATGAATTTATTCAATATCCACCTCTGAATCTACTATATTTGATCTAATTATTTTACATATTACGCAATTTCCGACCAATTTTATGGATTATTAATCTGGATTTATAATTGTAGAACCTGATGAGAAATTATTGAAAAGAATATTCTTCGTTCATACAATTGTGTTTTTAATATAATGGGAATTTTTCAGCAATTATTTCCAAACATCATGTTTAAATCTTTTCAATTTTTCATCGATACATATTTGAAATAAAAACTTTCTTTAAATGTCTTAAAAGTAAATGTTATTTATAATATGCAGTTTCCGAGAGAAAGAAAAAGCAATTTACCAGTACTTAAACTTTTATAAAACAAATCATAATCTTACATTCATTAGTTTCATAAAGATTTATGCATAAATAATTCATCTCATGTGAATCTTTTCACCAAACTTGTTTCTAGATTGTTAAATAAGCACACTTTTTTGTACATTCCATATTTTATTTTATCTTTACAGTTACAACAATTTAACTGGGTTGTACCAAGTATTGGGTATATCCTTTGAAATCTAGTTATTCTCATGAAAATAAATGAAACATTACAAAATTAATAAATAACCGTTTCTACTAGATAATTTAGATATGTGTAGGGTAATGTTGTGTTTGAAGTATTAAATAAATATCACTTAATGTTCTAAATCTTTACATAGTGTGTCAAATAGACAGTCTTTTCCTTTTTTATATCTTAAGTAATTATCATAGGATTACATGTAACAACTTAATGTGATGTGTATTAATATTTGGCTTTTGATTGAACTGAAACATTTATTCAATTGGTCAACTTTTCCTACTGCTACTCCTTACCTATGAACAGTGATTTTATGCTATAAAGCTGGACTTTTTTTATCATCTTAGCTTAATTTAAGCAAATAATTTGCATTTGTTTCAAAATGTCATTGATATTTTTAATGTACTTATGAGTTCACTTCATATGCATATACAGTAATCATTTTATGTATTATTTTCTAATGGATCAATTGCCTATTTCTTTTTCAACTATGGTTACGTGTATATATAATTTCAGTGTTAGCTTTCCTATACGGATAGTCCTATGTTCGTTTCTATTACAATCTTTATCATTTTGTTTATCTCTACTTTGTATATAGCAAAGAGGTCATATTCGTCAAATTGGTTGGTTTCCGGCAGATTTCGTTCGACTTATTACACCACTGACAGCGAATGGATCGTCTAATTCATCTGGTAAGTGTTATTTTGTTTTTATTTTTTTGTTTTCTCCTTAGAACTGCTTACCGTTCAATCTTATTTCGGTGAATCTTCATTGCCAAGGTGTAATAGTATCTCTGTTATACTTACAGTAGTTGAATGAAGCATTAAGTGATCATTTTATATCATAACAACTTTGAACATTACAGTTTAGCGTAGATTCGTGAATTCATTTCAACTTACTGGGTGCCATTTCGAAGATTTTATGACCAAGAGATGTGGGATTTCTTCAGATATTAATCAGAATCGTGTTTCCCTATTTATGTTCATAATACTATGTCTTCATATGATGCCTATTTAAGTAACCTTTATGTGACGTCTGTTTTTCGATCTAGTAATATCATTCTAAAGATACTTTTAATCACCATTTTAGTAACTCTCCACATAATCAATATTTATGTTATACAACTCGAAAACTGAGTTTACATTCTCTTTTCAAGAATTTTTTTATGTGAGGAGACAGATAACAACGCTTACAATTTAATTGAACCGGCTTGTATTTCTAAAATTTATGAATACAATTTCAATTGATTCACTCATTTTATGGAAACAATCTAAGTATAAATCAACTTAAAATAGAATGATAATTTATCAAGAATTTATTGTTTAATATGAAATGGATAAGTGCATTTGTGTGTACTAATAGACATATGCTCGCGCGCGAAGCCAGTAGGTCCTGGGTCCGAGCCTCGCGTGGTGCGGGATCGTGGATGCGCACTGCTGAGGAGTCCCATACTAGGATGAAATGGCCGTCCAATGCTTCCAGGTTTTCAATGGTGGTCTAGCTTCAACTGACTCATGATTTCAATCTGAAAATTTCTAAAATCTTCACAAACCCCTTCTAATAATTATTTCATTAACAAAACTGCTTATTAAATTCAATTGCACATATTTTCGAAAGTTAATCAGCACATGCAATATAGAATTATATAAGCCTAAAGACTTTTGATTATAAATGTTTTTGAAGTAGTGGTCGCTTATCGTGTATCGACGGAGTTAATTTAAATAAAGCTCGGAGCAGTCAAATGGAAGCGATGACATTAGTTGATGAAGTCCTTGACTGTTGAACTGAACGGCGTAGCTGAATCGAGATTACCTGGCTAGGTTCCGCCCTATAACTGTGATGAATGGTTCGACAAGTTCGGTGAGTACTCAAAAACGTCCACAGTCGAGGAGATTCATCGTGATTTCCATTATTGCTTTATACATGTCTTTCCACCCGTTCTTTTAGAACCATTTTCTTTAACATCATTGCTGGTATATTATTTCGATTCTTCTGCAATTCTTTTTTGTTTAAATTTGTTTTGTCGTTGTAATTTAGTTTTGTCAATTGCCGCTTGTGATTCTCTCTTTAATGATCTATCACTTTAATTATTATTTTGTTTTTAATTTATTTCCTCAAAGATCAAAAACTTTTATCCAAACTAATAAGTACCACTAATAATCAAATTGAAAATACTCCAACTAGTTTAAAGGCATTAGCATCAAAAGCGATTACTACATCAAATTCTGTTAATGATAATTCTGTACAAAGTCAGCAAGCACAATCAAATCGTGTGGAAATGATGCAAACTATTTTTAGTTATAAAGCTGTTCATGCAGATGAGTTAACATTTGAAGAAGGTGCTATTATCACAGTACTCGGTCGAGATGAACCGGAATGGTGGCGTGGTCGACTTCAAAATTCTGGAGCAGAAGGACTTTTCCCTGTTAATTATGTACGTCCGTACAATCCTCCCTCACAGACTGATAAATCTTCGAATTCCGTGAATCAACGTCCTGTTGTTCCTACACAAAGTAAGCTAATATTTTTTATGAAATGTGTTTCATATAGATATTTTTCTTAATACAATTGCTTTACATTTCTTTTTTTTTTCGTGGTCCTGTTAAGCAACTATGCTGCTTAAACTTAGTGTGAAAATTATCATTCAAGCATACGTTTATATTCCTAACTACTGATATCCTTAATACAAGCACTGTAGTCTTTATTCTTTCGTAGCACCTATTATTCAACATTTAGGTCATAATTTAGAATTCTAACCATCTGATATATTCGATCAACTTATCAGCTATCATATATGCTGAATGCAACCAATGGATTTCATTTTTATTGATCGACATTTAATAATCTGTGATTTCCAATGACTTAAATGTTAATTTAGCAAATCCTACGTATACTTATGTTATTGTTTTGCGTCTTAATGTGGAAGACTTTACTTCGAACATTTATTATTTATATGTCTAATTTTTTCCGTTAACGCTGTTGTGAATTTAAGTTTCTTTAACTATTTTCCAAATGATTTAAATAATTTTTTTTATCATCGATGTCTAGTTACACATACTAATCATTGACAACCACTATCCCTACAAATTATTTAATATAAATGGATAGAATTATCGAATAGGTAACCAAAAAGCATTGTTGTTACTTGTTGCTAAGATGTAAATTTTCCAAGGGGTTGATTTTAAGGTTAAAATTAACCAGTCTTTGTTAGTGTGAAAACTCACTCCGATGAATGCTTATGTATCTTAAGAAAATCTCAATATAACATTCTTCACCTGAATGGTATTCTTTCACGATAATATATCTGTATCAGAAACTACTCACCTTCTAGTTAAAATACTTCATTTTGAAATCCTTTTTGATGAGTTTTCAGATCCAAATATACTGAAACATCTGTTTTATGTTTAATATCTATAGACGACTGTCTAAAACCACTTAAACTTCGCTATTGTTATCAAGACACTAATGATTCCTAACGAACTAAAATCTGTTTTCTTTAAACTTGTAGTTATTCACATTTCCGCAGCATCAACTGGCACTTCATCATTTATAGTAATCAATCACGTTTTTCTTTTTGAATTTGTGCATGTGCAATATGCTGAAATCCATATAATCCTACTCAAACTATGTATTATAATTATTAGGTATAAATGATTTATACTAAGAGATGAAGTAGGACAATCAAAATGAAAACCAATTATCATCACAAAGTTGAAACAATCATAAACAGTGATGTAATTGAAGCACCCCTAATCAATTCTCACTATCAAGTCTACCGAAAAAAATTTGCTAGCTTACCAAATATTAACAAATATCACCGTACGATAGATAGAGTCATTTTATTACTCCATGACTGCAACTATGTTTGTTCTAGAGAGTATTGGCTGTAAGATCTTGAGTTTTGACTAATCTTTGTTATATTCATCTTTTTTTCTATAAAAAAAACGGTTTCAAGCTTCTTTGTGTTTCTCAATATGGATTAAATCATAAATAGGCTCTAGTTTATTGGCTAGTTTTATTTGTTTAAGGCTAACAATATAATTTGTATGTGACCATATTATTGATTGCGTATTCGTTTCGTCAGTTCACCTCCATCTTTATGTGAAATTTAATTGTTTTTCATCTATATTCTTGTTTTTTTAATACATTGTATGTTTTTCAAATCGATACATTTGATTGTTTGAGGTGAACTTAATTCAATGATTCAGTTTTTATTATTATTTGACAATATCATACTTACAATGTATATCGCTTATCCTTTCACCAATTAAATGTTTATATCATAGATAGATTTAATGGAAAACAAAACCGATCTTTGGTAGGCATTATAATACAGTAGTGTCATGTTCGAACTATAAATATTGAATCTTAACCTCCCACTCGGTCCCTCTTAGTCAACGTTGCTGCTACCTTAACATGGTGGTTAGGTTTACCTATCGTGAAGGTCCGATTGGGCTATACTGGTAGAGAACTATCGTTCCTCAAGGTCCTACCATGCCAAGCAGGTCAGTTAAAGAGCGGTAAGCAAACTCAAAGTGTGCGGGCGAAGTCGTGCCGCCGACTGTACAGAGATGTGACGATAGTAAGGCGTTTCCCTCAGAAAACCAGCATAACAGCGATACTGCCTTCCCACAAGGAAGGGTAAGGTTAGAAAAGGTTGACCCTAAAAATACACACCTCACCTTATCCCACGGATTTCGTCTCCGCCGGTAAGGTCCCAACAAGTACGGAGCTAGAAAGAAAATTCACAAAAAGGTCGTATGTGACCGACCTCAAGCAGTTGTCTCTTGGGCACTGCGGTCACACTCTCAGGTCACTAAGATCACCTCTAATCCAGTTTCCTTTTCAGATACCTCCGGAAGAACCCTTCCACGGTGTGAGCAACCGTGAAGTGATAACCGCCCTCATATCCGAACAGCACTCAAGATCACTATATTCATAATCCATCTCCCTCTTCAATTCCTATTATTCCTCCTACATCTACTATCAACACTAAACTTCCTCCTCAAGTTTTACCATAGGCAATGAATCTAGTACGCAAAACACTACCGGTTCTACTGAAACCTCACTCCAAACTATAGTTTGGAGACTTTAACGTACGCACCCTGTGTTAAATAGGCCAACAGGCCTCCTTGGTTAAGACCCTAAAATCTTGTACCATTGGTATATGCTGTGTCTCGGAAACACATACAAGATTCTAGTGTGATCATTCACATGACCTCGCCTCGCCAAAACTGAGAACCGATGGGATGCACCCTCTGTGTACCTGGCGACCCGATGCCTAGTTCTCGTGTACTGGCAGGTGTAGGCATAGCACTAAGTAACAAGCACTATTAGAGTAGATCCCCGTTAACAGTCGCCTATGTACTGTTCGGCCAAACGGCTCTGTAAGAATTCGGAAGGATAGGGACACAGGTCGTTGCCTTTCTGTCTACGCTCCCACTGTCTGCAGCTCGAACAAAGTGAAAGATGTCTTTTAGAGGAAGTTCTCTGAACTTCTTAATAAAGCTAAACACTTAGACATAGTACTCATAGCAGGTGACTTTAATACCCACGTAGGTAGCTTAAATCAAGCAGAAAGACAATTGGGTGGGTATTTCGGTATTCCGGCTCAACGAACAGATACTTGTAACCGTCTGCTGCAACAATCGTTTTTCTAGCAAACACTAATTTTAAGCGTAAGAAGAGAAATCGTCTAACATGGCGCACGCTTGCACCAAACCAATGATGTACTCGAATAAGCCATTTTGCCATCAGTCATCGTTGGAGAGAGTCGATAGATTGTCGCTCATTGTGGAATACCTGCTTGGACTGCGATCATGCTCTAATACGGGCACGCATTTGCTTGCACCTCACTGGGCCTCGAAAAGCCACACTAAGAAGATCTATTAGAATTGAATTGAGTGACGAGAAAACCAAAAGTACATTCCGAGAACAATTGAGGTCACACTTAAATAGTTCTGAAAACGAGGCTGACCCAGATGTTGCTTGGAAAGATATACAAACAGCAGTGACATCTATTAGTGATTTAAACCAAAAAGTTACAAAAAACCAGTAGATTTCTTCTAAGTCTACTGCACTGATGGATTCTCGTAAACTCATCCCATCAGGCTCTGAACACGATGATGAGCGAAAACAAGTCAGATCTAGGTTAAGAAAAAGTCAAAAAAGTGGTGGCTATCGAAAACAAAAAAGATGGAAAAGGCGGCGGCTATAGGAAACACAAGACAGCTCTACAGACTAATAAAAGAAACTGGAACTAATAAGTCAAGTGTAAGTGAGATTATTTCGGAAAAGGATGATACTCTCATCTACTCCCAGTCCAGACGTTTAGAACGATGGGTGGAACACTTTAGGGAACAGTTCAGCTGGCCTTCAGCAACTCTACAACTATCGTCCATTCACAGACAGTGTGAAAGGAACATTGAAGTAGGTCCACCAACTCTAGCAGAAGTTCAAAAGGCTATAGTTAATCTGAAACGAGGAAGAGCAGCTTGTCCAGATGGATTGGCTCCAGAAGTCTTTAAGGACGGTGGTCCAATTTTAGCGGTTAGGTTGACTAATATTCTAGCTAAGATCTGGGAGTTAGACGTTATTCCATCTAACTGGTCACAATCACTTATCGTCCCAATATATAAGAAAGGGTCAAAATCATACTGTGACAACCACAGAGGGATTAGTTTAACAAATATAGTATCTAAAATACTAGCCTCAATAATAATCAGACGCCTAACTAAGACTCGTGAACTTCAAACACGAGAAAACCAAGCTGGCTTCAGACCTGGTCGTGGCTGCATCGACCACATATTCACCATTCGTCAGGTTCTAGAACACAGGCATACTTATCGGCGTCCGACGATGGTGGTCTTTCTTGACTTAAAAGCAGCATTTGACTCGGTAGACCGCGAGATTCTGTGGCCGTGTCTGTCATTGAAAGGCGTACCCCAGAAGTACATAAACCTTGTAAAGGCTCTTTACTCGAATACTACTAGTCGAGTGAGAGCTTATGGCGAACTGTCATCTAGTTTTGCAACCTCAAGTGGTGTCCGTCAAGGATGTCCACTTTATCCAGTTTTGTTTAAATTCATCATAGACCTACTAATGGAAATAACATTCTCGTCGACTGAATTCTCGGGTATTGATCTCCTTCCAGGAGATCCACTTATCGACTTAGAATACGCAGATTATATAGTCCTGTTTGATGAGTACTCTGATAAAATGCAGAGTCTTTTGGTAGCACTAAGCAACAATGCCAGAATGTTTGAAATGCGCTTCTCTCGCTCTAAATGCAAGTTGTTGCTTCAGGACTGGTCTGCGTCAACACCTGAACTAAGGATAGGGAGTGAAGTAGTCGAACGCGTTGACAACTTCACTTATCTTGGAAGTCTGATCAGCCCTAATGGGTTGGTGTCTGACGAAATCTTAGCACGGATTCGAAAATCTCGCTTGGCTTTTGCTAACTTACGTCACCTATGACGAAGGCGAGTTATCCGTCTATAAATAAAAGGAAGAG